AAACAACAAATACAGGGTAAACATAATGCTGGAAATATGGAAAAAATTATCAATACTTATAATTATTTTCTTTTATAGGATAAATGCAAAATATACATTTATTTGACCTACTTACTAGAGTGTTTTAGACATTTGATTAAAATGAATGATAATTCTTTAACTATAGCATATAGAAGGCAATCCCACACCATTTAAAGTCATAATTTTAATATAATATAACAGCTTTTTTTTCCACCTGTACTTCTGTAAATGGAGAACAGTGCTGCCTGAAAGCTGTCTGGGAATTCAGCCAAAGAAAGAAGAGGTTACAAAAACTCTAGGGACTTGAAAGAAAAGTAGCTGGCATTAGCTTGGTCCTCACTTTAAACTAAAATTAAAATAAAAGACAGACATGTACAGTAATCTCTCTTTTAAAGAAAGAATAGAATGCCTCTATAGTAATGTCAAGTGGAACAATTTGATCCTGGCCCAAGTTATGCAGCTGTTCCACAGGAAAATAGCAAAAGGCTTCAGTCCAAAGCAGGCAAATAAGGCATGATTGTTCATAAACAGTCACTGGGGCCCTCACATTCAGAACAAAGAAAACAGCATTAGCATACAGGAGGCTAGGTTAGGAACATGAGTCTCAGTATGAGATGAGTCACACCTTCGTTTTCTGACTTATACAAAAAGCAGTAGTGTGTTTTTTGTCTATTAACTTGCCTAATAACCATTAATTGATTCATTCTTTAGGAAATCATATATTGGTCACATATTTTTAAGAAACAATAAAGATTTGTTCTTGGGTTAAAGAAATTATTGAAGTCAGCAACAAAATGTGAAGAAATCATAGATTTATTATCCATTTCTACTTCTCACCTGCTCATTAAAGGGGGATCAGATAAATGGTAATAATAGCAGAAATTAGGTACTTCAGGAGTCAATTAGAAGCTTTGAAGCTAAGGCACAGAGTTGCTTCTCAGTGAATCCAAAATAACAGAATGAGGAATCAGGTGTACCGGAGAACTTTGGCTGTGATTAACAGAATAAAATAGGAAATTCGAACCTGCCCTTTGGGTAAATGTGATATTACAACTTCAGTTTTACTCATACTCTTTACAGGTTCTTTCGATCCTATCTTAAAATAAGAATAGCCTCTCTACTATTTTTTATTTTAAAACTTCTGTTTGATGTGGCGTTCTTTTCTCAGCCCTTTTCAATTGTTCATAATTCAGTTTCTGAAATGGGTGGTCTTAATTTCTTTGCCTTCCCATCACCTAACTCCCTGATTGTCATTGTTATTTTTCTGTCACTAAGTTGTATCTCTCTATGTGACCCCATGGACTGCAACACACCAGGCTCCTCTGTTCTCCACTATCTTGCGCAGTTTGCTCAAATTCATTTCAACTGAGTTGGTGATGCTATCCAACCATCTAATCCTCTGCTGCCCCTCCTCCTTTGGCCTTCAGTCTTTCCCAGCATCACAATCTTTTCCCGTGAGTCGGCTCTTTGCATCAGGTGACCACAGTTTTGGAGCTTCAGCTGTAGCAACAATCCTTCCAATAAATATTCAGGGTTGATTTCCTTTAGGATGGACTGGTTTGATCTCCTTGCAGTCTGAGGGACTCTCAAGAGTCTTCTCTAGCACCACAATTCTAAAGCATCAGTTCTTCTTTGGCACTTAGCCTTCTTTATGGTCCAACTCTTAAATCCATACGTAACTACTAAAGAAACCATAGCTTTGACTATAATAACTCCCTGATTAATCCATTTTCAGTTTGCCTTCTGTTCTATTAGCTCCAGTGAGACTTGTTTTCTTCATGATCAGAAAAAGCATTCTCTCGCTTTTTTGGTCCTATCTGCCTCATCTGGCATTGTTGGAGATGGAAAGTAAACTAGAGAGGCAAGCAATGAGACTGTCTTTAAAGATGCTAATGTTTTCATTTGTTGGGAATGATAGTTACTTTGAAAATGCAGAAGAGTGGATTTAAACATGATTAGGATACAAGAGAGGTAGTGGTCTAAAGGCAAAAAGGAGTCAGAGAATTTGGCTATATCTTTAATGTCAATGGCCTGGAGGCCCACAAGGAAAGATCATAAAAAGAGAGTTGGGAATAAAAATATAATACAGTGAATAAGTCAATGTACATTTACTTTTGGACCATAGCATAGAGAATAAAACAGTATGATCTATAATGATAAAGACTGAATATAATAATCATTTTAACCCATACGGAGCTTAGGAGCTAATTGCTCAGAAGATACTATACTAACCAGAGAACTTTTTATATGACTGTAAACTATGTTAGAAATGGTCAGCTTGGTAGGAATTTGTCAAGTTCCCAGAATGGGCACAAATACAGAAGAAAGCCTGATACAAAAAAAAGAAAAGAAAAGAAAAGAAAAACAACAGTGAAATATGTCTTGAGACGAGCCAGTTCTTCACCTTCAAGCATCTAGAGCTTCAACGTCAGTGCTGCTCATTATTGTAGCGCCGATCCTAATTTTTCAAATGTGACTTTGACTAACATAAGTGACAATTTAGACTCAGCAATAGAAGTAGCAGAAAATAGCTGAAGATATGTGATCTTTGGGCAATGATTGAACTAAGTTTAAATCCTGACTCAACCATTTAAAATCTGGATGAATTGGGAAAATTGGTTAACACTGAGCTTTAGTTTTCCTTTCTGTAAAATAAGAAGCCTTCTTATTTATATTACCGACAGCAAAGTGTTATTAATCAGGATCTTTCTGAGAAAGATGACATTTTCTATTTCTTAAACTTCTGGGGCCTTTGTATTTTTAAATAAAATAAGTATATGAGATTGCTGTTTTCCATTCATCTGCAGTGCAAAGGATTATTGCATATCCAAGCTTATTTCTAGATAACTGAAACAGAGACTCACAATAAGGCACTTTTATTCAACCATATCCGAGCTGAGGAAAATGGATTACTTACATAGCTAATTACTTAGATCACAACATAAGTATTCACTAAAAAAAAAAAAAAAAGATAGTGAAAGTGGATATAGAATTAAAAAGAAGATCATTGACAGGTAACTATATGCTGGAATGTATTAATATCCAAGCATTCTACATATTATACTTCCCATCTTCACCTCATTTAATTGTGTAAGTTGTACACATATTCTACATGTACACATATGTACTTTGGGGCAGAACTATGGAAAGAAGGTAAAAGTCAAACTCCTTTGCTATGCCCTGATCCTGATCATGTTTCTTTATCATATCTCCAAATGCTGACCTCTGAGGTTACAGAAAAAACAGAAGCAAAAGAGAGAGACAGGGAGAAAGGAAGAGGGAAAGCTGGGAAAAAATAATAAAAAGGAACAGGAGAGGAAATGGAAGGGAAAGTGAGGAAAGAAGCTCTGGTATGAGAAATACAGAATTGGGAGTAAAGAAATTGGATTTCAGTATGTCTAAAGCAGATTAAATTTGCTACACTTAAAGTACTGAGTGATTAAGAGAAAGTCACAGTCAAATCCAACTCTTTGAAACCCCATGGACTGTATAGTCCATGGAATTCTCCAGGTCAGAATACTGGAGTGGGTAGCCTTTCCCTTCTCCAGGGGATCATCCCAACCTAGGGATCGAACCCAGGTCTTCCACATTGCAGGGATGAAAGAGTGATTTAGAAACAATGGAGAATGCTGAGTTTAAAACCTCCAAGAAATTCCAGGCTGATGCATGGGAGGGGAATTTGGGTGAGAATAGATCCATGTATGTATATAGCTGAATCCCTTTGCAATCCACCTGAAACGACTACAAAATTGGTAAAAGACTATACTCCAATACAATGTAAAAATTTAAAAGAAATTCCAGACTGGGATAGGAGAACTTACGCGTCTTCTAGACTTGCATTCCTTCAAGTTCAGGTGCCAGACCACTCCCATCAGAATCACCAGGATAAAATTTTTAAGTATGTATTCCCGAGTCTTCCTGGAATCTGAACATTTCATGCAGAAATTGCATTTNGTGACAGTCACTCAGTTGTGTCCGACTCTGTGCAATCCCATAGAAGCCTGCTAGGCTTCTCTGTCCATGGGATTTCCCAGGCAAGAACACTGGAGTGGTTAGCCATTTCCTTCTCCAAGGGATCTTCCTGAACCAGGGATGGAACCAGCATCTCCTGTATTGGCAGGTGGATTCTTTACCACCTAGGAAGCCTATAGTTATATACAGAGGACAATTAAATCCCTCCCATTAAAATTTAAACAGAAATGCAAATCAATGGAAATATCTTTAAAAATCAAACAAATGACTTTCAGTTCCAAGAAGAGTGTTACCTTACAGTGATCAAAGCACTTTCCAAAGAAATAATCCTTATTTGATACTCCATACTTGAATTTTCTATTAATATATTTTCTATTGATATATTGATATATTTCCAAGAGTTAACTGTTTATAAACATGAATGTCAAACATAAAATTTTAGAGTCACAGTGATGTTAGAACTCATTATTCTAACAATGAAATCTCTTTTTAATTGAAAATGTTCAGTCTGTGACCCTTTCATTCACATTACCTCCAATTATAACACATCAAGAAATTATGTTTCAGGGGGTTACATTAGAAGTGTAGATTTGATTTCTCTTATGAAAATGATTTTTCATGTAACTAAAACATGGACATATTTTGAGGATTCAATATTTTCAGAGCTTTTCATGAGAGAATTAAGTTCAGCATATGTAACTTCTATCAATCGGATGATGTAAAAACAGTGACTGATGAAGTCTATATTCCTTTCAAGAAGAAATAGTGGGGGGAAAAGGGAAAAAAATCGCAGTTGGAAATCTTCCCAGAAATTTCACTAAATGATAAAATACAAGACGAATTTTCCACAGACACTTAATGAAGACATGGTTCAGGGGCCTTTCTTTTCTGAGATCATTTTGCCCAGTAATAAAAGGCACAAGTTGTGGATTTCTGCAGTTAAAGGCTGCAATCAAAGCAAGATAGAATAAAAAGTAAAAAAATTTATTGCTCATTAAATCACTTACAGTGGTTTTCCTTTGGATTCACAAGTCAAAATTAAAGGCTGTCCTTCTTGTGGAAAAGGAGTGGATGGTATAATCTTAACTGATGGTGTATCTAGAAAAAAAAGAATATTGAGAAAGGTCATTAAACACATGTAAAGCTATATATTTAATAACTGTACATCATGGTGTATGTTCAAGCCATTTCTTATAATTGTATATATTTATAAAAGGCCTTTTAGTGAAACAGGGTCTGAAGTTTAAGAAGCTACCATCCTGTCCAGGAAAAGCTTACAAAAACATCTGAGTATCTTATGAGGGCCACTGCTGTATTATTTCTGAAATCTGAATTTAAAAGTGAAATTGCAAAAGTAGTTCAGATGAATATCAAGCATTTCATACAATTGTTTCTTCAACTATTATAGATGGCTATGAATACTATTATTATGGACTGAATGCATTTATGTGCATTTGAATAACAACACTTTCATTGTTGCAGGAATACCAAGGACTAACAATAAGGAACCCTAAAAGAACTTGAGACCACTGTCTCACAAGAATTATGCAGTCTTTTTGAAAATTCAGTGATGCAGACCTTACCACACACTGTTTGGTTTAAAGTACAGTTAGCAAATCATCTGAAATAGTTATTTAGAACATTAATAAAAATCAAAATTTTGTTGTATGTGCTATAACATAATTGTTAGAAAGTTATTTCCATTTAACAATAAAATCATCCTTGGCGGAAGAAGATACAAAAATACCTTGAGACATTTATATTTATAACTTTCACGTCATGTCAGTCAGTTCAGTCGCTCAGTCGTGTCTGACTCTTAGTGACCACGTGGACTGCAGCATGCCAGGCTTCCCTGTCCATCATCAACTCTCAGAGCTTGTTCAAACTCATACCTACCGAGTTAAGTCATGTAATGTCCTTTAATCAATCAGTCGCTGTTTTTACATCATAATTACATTATAGAGTCAATCATATTACGTAGAAAAAAAGGAAAATAAACTAAAAAAAAAGAATGTAAACAGGCTCATTACTTTATGAGACATTGCTGGCCCTAGCTTTGTGTGGCTCCCAGTCAGCAAGGAACTCTCTCCTTTTCTTTCCATATCCTCAACAATAAACAAAATAAGCTATGAATGATTCACGGAGTCACAACTATTCTCACCCTTCCCTTAGTTGTGAACTATCCTTAGGTTATATTCATACTCTCATGGCAATTAAATAAGAATCAATTGTGTACTTTTTAGGTTACTTATCTTATTCAGGAAAGTATTATTCAGATTTATCCTATAGAGAACAATAAACTGAAATTATAAAAAGAAAGAGGAAAGTGAAAGAGGAGAGTGAAAAAGCTGACTTAAAACTCAACATTCAAAAAAACTGAGATCATGGCATCTGGTCCCATCACTCCTTAGCAAATACACGGAGAAACAATGGAAACAGTGACAGACTTTATTTTCTTGGGTTCCAAAATCACTGCAGATAGTGACTGCAGCCATGAAATTAAAAGATGCTTGCTTCCTGGAAGAAAAGCTATGACCAACCTGGATAGCATATTAAAAAGCAGAGACATTACAGATAATGTAATGTAATAGCATTACAGTCAAAGCTATGATTTTTCCTGTAGTCATGTACGGATGTGAGAGTTGGACTATAAAGAAAGCTGAGCGCTGAAGAATTGATGCTTTTGAACCGTGGTGTTGGAGAAGACTCTTGAGAGTCCTTTGGACTGCAAGATCAAACCAGTCAATTGTAAAGGAAATTAGTTCTAAATATTCATTGGAAGGACTGATGCTGAAGCCAAAGCTCCAATACTTTGGCCACCTGATGTGAAGAACTGACTCATTTGAAAAGACCCTGATGCTGGGAAAGATTGAAGGTGGGAGGAGAAGGGGATGACAGAAGATGAGATGGTTGGATGGCATCACCGACTCAATGGACATGAGTTTGAGTAAACTCCCGGAGTTGGTTATGGACAGGGAAGCTTAGTGTCCTTCAGTCCATGGGGATGCAAACAGTTGGACACAACTGTGTAACTGAACTGAACCGAGAACAATAAACAAGATCCTGTGGAAGGCCTTATACCATACTTATAAATTATTTATACTTTTCAAATGCATTTTTTCTCAATCCTCTAAAGAAAAAAATACATTCAAGATAATCAACAATAATATCCCACTTATAAATAGGCATTCCATGTACACCATGGTGAAATACTATAGCATAAACTAACCCAGGAAGAAAAATTATTTCAAAGAAATATGATGCATATTGTCATATTTTTAAACAGTAGAAAAATAATAAAGAATTGAAATATACTCAAAGTTTTATTACCATCATCTTATTAATGGAACCAGTTACCATGATGATCTTATAATTTTGCCTTCCAAGTAGAACACTTTTAAAAGTGAATAGGAAATATCAGTTTAATTATACAGAGAAATAAGTATGAACCAGAATGATTCTGAGAAAATGAGGGCTATTGTATCTTAAACTTCGACCATATGTAACACATACAAAATTCAGTTTCTTCCTGACATAAAAATAAAGCTTCAGTTCCAGAGAAAAATGTTACAGAAGAAAGATCAGAAAAGTGTGATCCTTGGAAAGAGAGTTGTTGTTAGCATGTGTATCTGTTGTTGCTATTCAATCAGGAGTGTCTGACTCTTTGCAACCCCATGGACTGCAGCGTGCCAGGATTCCTTGTCCTTCACCATATTCCAGAGCTTGCTCAAACTCATGCCCATTGAGTTGGTGATACCATCCAACCATCTCATCCTCTGCAGTCATCACTGCAGATGGCGACTGCAGCCATGAAGTTAAAAGACAGTTCCTCCGTGGAAGAAAAGCTATGACCAACCTGGACAGCATATTAAAAAAGAGAGACATTACTTTGCCAGAAAAGGTCCATCTAGTCAAAGCCACGCTTTTTCCAGTAGTCATGTATAGATGTGAAAGTTGGACTATAAAGAGAGCTGAGCACCAAAGAATTGACGCTTTTGAACTGTGGTGTTGGAGAAGACTCTTGAGAGTCCCGTGGACTGCAAGGAGATCCAACCAGTCCATCCTAAAGGAGATCAGTCCTGGGTGTTCATTGGAAGGACTGATGTTGAAGCTGAAACGCCAATATTTTGGCCACCTGATGCAAAGAACTGACTGATTGGACTAGATCCTGATGTTGGGAAAGATTGAAGGCAAGAGGAAAAGGGGACAACAGAGGATGAGATGGTTGGATGGCATCACTGACTCAATGGACATGAGTTTGAGTGAGTTCCGGGAGTTGATGATGGACAGGGAAGCCTGGCGTGCTGCAGTCCATGGAGTCAGAGTAGGACACAACTGAGCAACTGAACTCCTACCTTTATGCTCAAATGACCTGTCCTCGAGTTTGTTGATTCTTATCTCTCCTCAAAGCTCCTTTAGTGCTTGCTTCATTTCAGCTATTATATTTTCCAAGGGCAGAGCTGCCCTTTGGCTCCTCCTATTTTATTTTTTGGCCAGGTCACAGGGCATGCCGGATCCTAATTTCCTGATGAGGATCTAACCTGTGCCCCCTGCAGTGGAAGCTCAGGGTCCCAACCACTGAACCACCAGCGAGGTAACATGGCTCTTGTTATAATATGTATTTATTTATTGATATTCTCTATTTGATGAGATACTGTTTTCAAATCTTAGTTCTTTAGACAAAGTTTTCATTTAGNTCCTTATAGTCCAAGAGACTCTCAACAGTCTTCTCTAGCACCACAATTCAAAAGCATCAGTTCTTCAGTGCTCAGCCTTTTCATGGTCCAACTCACATCTGTACATGACTGCTGGAAAGACCACAGCTTTGACTAGATGGACCTTTGTCAGAACAGTAATATCTCTGCTTTTTAATATGCTGTCTAGTTTGGTAATAGCTTTTCTTCCAAGGAGCAAGCATCTTTTAAATTTCTGGCTGCAGTCACTAACTGCAGTGATTTTGGAGCCCAAGAAAATAGTCTTTCACTTTTTCCATTGCTTCCCCATCTATTTACCATGAAGTGATGGAACTGGATGCCATTATCTTAGTTCTTTGAATGATGAGTTTTAAGGCTGACCCTCCCACAAATAGAAAATTTTTCCTGACAGCATTTGAGCTTGCACATCAGTCTTTTTCTTTCTGCAAATCAAGGTGAAATAGCTGCTCTTCCTGGAACTTGAGCCTGCTGGCTCTCAAACTAGAACTATAGCATCATCTCTTCTGGTTTCTCCAGATCTCACACTGGTTTCTCTTTGGATTCATACTGGAATTGAGGCAGGAGATAGGTGGGATCCAGACAGAACAGTTTCTCTCTTGTGGACAGAAATCCATAATAGCAGAAACTCTATAAAAGCAGGATGATGAAGGAGGCTGGGCCCTGCCTCAGTAGGAGATAAAAGACCATATATCCCTCATTCTCAAAGTCAAGGTGACCTCCATGACTACACAAATGCAGAAAAGCTCCTTGGAGGTAAAAAAAGGGAGGAGGTATCAGCTCATAGTGATGTCAACTACCCATAATCCTTTTCATTAGAATCCATCTTGGCTAAGAGATGAGCATCCATAAATGGAAGGTTCCTAAGATACACCAAATGCAGACTCACAACCAGGCAAATCAAAATGACTGGAAAAGGAAACCCAGAAAAAAAGGCCCCATAAAGTGATTGAAACTACTATGAGGGCACAACTGTTTCTCTGCATCCACCCATGTGTCTGTCCACACACCTGTACTCTTTTTCCTCCTAATAAATATTTCACTTATTTCACTGTTTTTCTTCTTTGCGGGAGTTCTTTTTTTCTGCTAAGTCAAAGGGTCAGGGCCTTGTCACTGACTAGTCTACTGGCTAGGGTTCTGTGCTCTGATCATTGTGACCCAACCTCAGGACTGGGAACTGAAGCCCTTCTTCAAGCCACTGCATGCCAAGGCCACCCAAAATCAGACAAAATCATCAGCTCTTCTGGGTCTTTAACTCACCAATTCAGCCTACAGATCTCGGCATGTGTACTGTTTCTCTGTAGAATCCTGATAAATAGAGAATCCTTATCAATATACCCTGAGATATTTCTTTTATGGGGAGTGACCTCAGGGTGCATTGGAAAG